TTCTAATTAACGTGGAACGTTTATATCATTGGATCATTAATATTTCCCAATCACGCCGCTCTCTCGGCCGGTCACGCAAAGCCGTCGCAATAATGGATCACCGCGGATCGTCGGAAGATCAATATCAAAATTTCAACGGTCGAATCATGTTCTCGCTTGTAAACGTAAAATCAACGGCAATCAGCGAACGCCGACAACGATCTAATCGGACTTGTAACAGGACTTCGCGTTGAAGCTGTTAACGTCGCCTCTCTCTCTCTCTCTCTTTCTCTCTCTTCCTGCTCCTCTCGCTCGAGCAGAAAACTGAAGTCGCGTCAAAGTCACAAGTGCCGAGGCTCGACTCGCTGAGGAAGCTAAATCAACCAACGAACCTAGACATGCTTATCGCGCTGCGCAGAGGAGATAACGCGAGTTTAAACGCTTGACGCACTGAGTCACCCGTTCTTTCTCGAAGTATGAGCAATAAAACACGCAACAACTTCGACACACACACACACACACACACTCATCTCCGAAATATGTAGGTAGGTAAAACGGGGAGAGAGAGAGAGAGAGAGAGAGAGAGAGAGAGAGAGAGAGAAAGGGAGAGAGAGAGAGAGAGATAAAGGGGACGACACGACCGCTCGTCGAAAAAGGGACGGAGAGCGATAGATGAGTGAGCAAATCGCCGCTCAAGCTGGCGTCGGGGCCAGCTAATGAAGAGGATTCACGTGAAGTAGCTAGAATTACTCGTCCAGGCTGTTGAACAATAATAGAAAAGATAAGCGACCAGTGCCGGCTACTTGAGTCGCCGGCGCATTTTCTCCGTGGCGGCGGCTTCTCTCTCTCTCTCTCTCTCTCTCTCTCTCTCTCGCGACTCGCTCTCTTCAGCGGAACCGAATGATAACCGTGCGAGATCAATCCGACGCGCCGGGACGCCGCGAATGCCTCGGACTCCAAGAGGAAGATGAAGAAGAATGAGAGTCGGGAATCGCGCGCGCGACGCGTATCCGTCCATTGATGCGCGAGTTTAAATGCGAGCACAAACGCGGGACTATAGCAGTCTACAGACTATAGACTGCTATAGGCTACTCTCGTCGGCCGAAGGAAAATCAGCGCGTCTATTCATAGTCCGATAAGCGTTTTCAAGTCTGCTGCAACAAAGAGGCCGATCGAGCCGCGCGCTGTCTCTGTCTCTCTCCCTCCTTCCTTCCCCCTCTCTGAGCGCGCGCGCATGTGTGTGTATGTGTGTGCGAGTAGCGTGTGTACAGCATGGCGTTTTAAAAGGCGCACACAGCATGCAGTGCGCTACGACGACGACGATGACGATGACGACATACAATCGTGAGCGCGAGGCGCGTTTCAATGGGATAGAACGGGTTTTTTGTCTGCTTTTTCCCCCCTTCGTCTGCTAGCAAAACTCGTTCAGGTGTTGCGCCGGCATTCCGTGGATTACCCGCGAGAAACAAACGCGAGCCCGTCTGGAAGGAACGTCGGAGTCTGCAGACTCCAGAAACGCTTGAATAAAATTATCGCGCTACGTCGTTCTCTCTCTCTCTCTCTCTCTCTCTTCCCTTCTTTGTTTCGGAGGAGATTGACGCGAGCGTTCCGGTAGTACACTCGAACGCTTCGGGAAATTGACGCCGTGTCGGCCGGGGCTGTTAACAAACATGAAGAGTATAAAGAGACGAGACGTTTCCAAAGTCTCGACGAGTACAAAATAGCGAAACGATTGCATCGACGAGTTTGCCGGCATTTGCGTCAAGCACATGCTTCCGTGAAGAAACATGTCCCGAGTACTCGACGTTCAGGACACGTCTTGAAGGACGAGATTCGTTAGCTTGAAGCACAATGTTGAGCAAAGCTTCAAAGCCAGCCCTGAGACTGGCGCTCGGAGATTCCCCGAGCTTCAATCACGGCCCGAGGCGACCGCCACGGCCGCGGAGGAATCCGAATCCGAAGGTAAATTACGAGCTCAATGCGCGAGCTGTCGGCGGGAATGAAAGAGTCCATTGAGAGACGTGTGCGAGAGCGCGAAATCGAATCCCGTTTCGATCGGATGGATCCGCGGCCGAAGATGCGCGTCGATCTTAAAAATAGCACTCGCGCACCTCGCCAATTGACGAGCGCGACTCGTTATCGTTCGTCATGAATCGGGCCGATTCTCCGGCGATAACGAAGCTTTTCTCCGCAAAAGCTGACTCGACTCGCGACTACTTGAAGAGGCGAGGCAAAAATGCGATCACTGGAAAAACGCGAGCGGAAGACAAGCAGTCGAGCCGATCCGAACGTCACACGAGAGAATCGCGCACATCGGCTGTTCCCGACGAGACGTCCGAGAAGCGTGACGACGACGACGACGATAATGATGATGATGATGACGATGACGACGATGACGACGACGACGGAGGCGGCGGCCTGCACACGCCTGCCTGCCTCGCAAAGTCAATCGTGTGTGCATGTGCTCCGGTCTCTCGAGCAGCATCGATCGACGAAGCACGCGTACGTGTATATCGTGCTGGCGTCCGGGAGTGCCCGCTTGCACCTCCGAGGAACAATGCGAGAGACTTCCGGAAGAGGTAAAAGCACGCGGCGGCCTCGCTCTCGCGAGCCTGCGAGGGACGCGTAATGGCGAGATTCCATGCGCTCCGCTCGCTCGCCAGATTCGCCATATTTCGCGAACCTTACGTCGAAGGACGCCGCGAGGACGGTCGCCGAGAGAGAGAGAGAGAGAGAGAGAGAAAGAGAGAGAGAGCAAGAGAGAGAAAGAGAGAGCAAGAGAGAGAAAGAGAGAGAGAGAGAGAGAGAGCGAGCGCGAGGGGATCGAATTCCCACGTCGCAGACCGGGGAACTTGCCGGAGCTCGGGATGCAAAGACGACGGTCTCGAACGAGTGATCGTCTTCGAGATTCGACGTCTCGTCGGGAGGAAAGTCTAAAACCCGTCGGTCGAATCTCGAATCGACACCACCGACGTGAGAAAATAAAAGAAAATATTGCATCATACGTAAACGCGTGAGCAGTGAGAATCCGGAGGGGACTACATTCTACTCTCTAAATCAAAAAGCATGCAGACTTAATTTCTACTCGTCGAGGCGCGACTTAACCCCAGAGAAGCAGGCTCGAAAATACGCCGGGGGGGGGAGGGGAGGGACGCATCGGAAAATGACCTTACGATATCCCGCAGCAAGGCTTGCTCAAGTCAACACGATGAGAAACCGAGGCTCGATACGACGCTACAACGTGGCGTCTCTCAGAGACGCGAGGAGAGTCGAGCGCATTTAAAGCGCAGCCCTCCATCGAAAAACTCATCGAAGCCACTTCTCGCTCGGCGACGCGCGTGTCGCCGTGAAATGCACCGCGAAATTACGACCTCGGCAATCTCCCGCACTCTGGGGTTAAGACGCGCCGACGACGACGATGATGACGACAACGATGAACGAACGAACGAACGTACGTAGAGGAAGCAGGCGCAGGAGGGCTGGCGAGAGTCGCGTGTGTGCGTGCGTGTGTGTGTACGTGTGCGTCGCTGTTCGGCCTCGAGCGGACTCCTAGGAGGCCATGATGACGACGACTCGGACGGCGGATCACGCGTGAGCCTCGCCGCGACACATGCGAGAGATCGACTAACGGCAGAGAGACCGCCGCGCGGACGACGCGGACTCGACGAGAGACAGAGAGAGGGAGGGGGGGGGAGAGAGAGAGAGAGAGAGCGAAGCGCGCACGCGAGCGTCCCTCGGCCACGAAGAAGCGTGGCGTCGACGGCACGTACTAATTCCGGAATTCGTGGAAGCGAGACGCGCGACGCCACGCTGAGGCCGCGGGGAAGAGCCCCTTGTGCTCCGCCGTAGAAAAGCCGGAGCAACGAGCAAGGAACGCCCGATTTCCCGTGCAACGAACTCTCTCTTTCTCTCTCTATTTCGCACGCGCGCGCGCGCTCGATCTCTCTTTCCCTTTCTCTGTCTGTCTCTCTCCCTCTCTTTCTCTCTCTCTCTCTCTCTCTCTCTCGCTCGCTCGCTCCTTCTCTGTCTCTATCTATCTCTCGCGAACGTGCACGTTCTCGCAATTTTTTTCACGCACAAGAATCCCGTCGCGCCCGACAGCCCTCCCCGCGTTCACGTTAGCGTTAAAGTGTCAAACGTGGGAGTTGCGTGGGTGACGACAAATTTCGAGACTCCTCATGGCTCGGCGTGCTCGCTCGCTCGCTCGCTCGCTCGCTCCGCGACGAGCTGGTGAGAGCGAGTGAGTAACGTGCGCGAGAGAAGGAACGCCTCGAGGATTTATCGGAAACGGAAATTCCCGGAGCACGGGGCGGAGGCCAGGTCACGATGATGCATCGTCGTCGTCGTCGTCGTCGTACTAGTAGTAGTAGTAGTTGTTCGTGGTAATTGTCGTCGCCATCGTCGTCGTCGTCACCGTTACCGTCACAGTCCCCTCACACCGACGACATGACACACGCGACCTACGTAAGCCTGCTCATGCGAGGGCTCTCTCTCTCTCTCTCTCTCCGCGAACGAACGAGGAAATTTCTCAGCGGCCGCCGCGGCCGAGCCACGTTTCTCGCGCGGCACAACGCGCCCGGACGATCGCGCTATCGCCGAGCGCACGTTACGCATCACCCACGCCACTCCGCGTCCGTTAATTCGCCGCGCAAAGGCAGGAGCAATCACAATAGCGTTTACTTACGGCCGACGGTTGTTGTTTCTGAAGGCTTTCGCAATCTGTCGGTCGTGCTCGGGAACTTCCGTGCGGCACGTCTCGTCAAGCCAGCGTCCGCCGCGCGACTACCTTCACATACAACGGCGATTCGTCAGTTCGACTGTCGCGCCATCCGGTCGGAAAAAAATTTTCTCACGACGTGGATATTGTTCGGTGGTGATTTCGTCGGAGAAAACGACCGAAAATTCGTCTAGCCGAACCGGGCGTTTAGTTACCACCTTGAGCCCGTCAGTGCGATGATACACACTGGACGGTAGACTAGACGTTTCCGCGTGAGTTAGCAAAAAAGTCACTTCGGCCCGGAATAGCAGTTTGTGCTTCCGGCTGAATATCGCCGCGGAAAATATCGTCGCGCTCGTATCTGCGCGATTGACGATTATTCGGGAAATCGTAAGCTCGCCGTAAGCCGCGCGCGACTGCGGCAACCAGCGAGACGGGATGTTACTCGCGGATTCCAACTCGACTCCGGTGGTGCTCGAGCAATTTCCATAGACAGAAATCGAATTAAATCGATCCCGTCGTGCGAATAACGCGCGAATAAGGCGTGGACGCGAGCGGAGCCGCGAAAATTCGCCGTGCGCTCGTCGTCGAGCCTCGCCTCGTCATTTCGACACGGACACGCCCGTTTCCGGACGTGCATCGTTAAAACGCTAAAAAAAGCGACGCGTCGGTAAATTAGATTTCTGTCCGTGCACACGGACGGGAGTACAAAGGGTCTGTTGTCACACGCGGACGGTGCGTTAGATCGTTTGGGCAACTGTCAGTCGGTCTCCGTTGGACTCGGACTGCTCGGAGCGGCAAGATATCTTTCGCGTTTTTAAATGTGATTCTAACAGGCGGTTTATATTTAGATATTAAGGACATTTGTGATAAACGCACTTAGGTTGGTGAGACACTCCGTCGTACGCCGTCGTCGCCGTCGCACGTCCCGACCTGATCCTCTGCCTCTGCCTTTGCCAATTTAACTCTTAAATGGCCCGTTTGTCTCGCACGCACAATCAGCACGATTACTGTTAAATCTCTCGTATGTCATTGTTCGGCTGGCAGCTCGCGGACGCGCTGTTTGCTCGAGGTCCGTGCGTGCGTTCGAACATTTGTCACTTTGTGAAAATCGCGATGACCTCGCAACAACGACGACGACGACGACGACGACGACGGCGGCGGCGACGACGACGATGACGACGGTGACGAATTTTCATTTTAGTTTCTAGTTATTTAATGAAGCTTGCATCGCTTTAATGAGAATTATATTTACTGTATGTCGCTGGAATATATATTTTTAAACGTGTAATGTCTCAGCTGAAGTTTAATTACAGTCAGATAGCGTGTTGCAAACTCTAAAGTTAGAATTGGTATAGATTTTTCAGAGAAGAGACGCGTGAAAGTGTGTCACATTTGTTATTTGTATTTTTCTCTCCTCAGGATGGCTCATAGCTCTCAAACCTACGGATCTACGGATCACAGAGCGGATGTACCTGATATAGGATTTAGTCCTACCGAACTTTATAGTCTCAGTGAAAATATTACCACTAACATATATACAATTAATACAAGTTGGAGAACCTTGGAAAAAGCTTATAAGAACATTGGAACCAGCAAGGATAGTCAAGGCTTAAGAGACAAAGTGTAAGTACTATCAGAAATATGATAATGAGGGATAGGAATTCTTGATTCGGAAATGGAACAGAAAGACTGACTGATGCACATGTATTTGTGTTTTCCAGGCATGTAACACAATTGAGTACCAACCAGGTGGTCACGCAGACGAGCAAAGACATAGCTAGACTGACAGTACTAATGAGACGTGGTGACAAGCAGCAAAAATTACAAATTGAGAAACTCACAACGGACTTTAAAGATGCATTACAGAGATATTCTTATATGCAGAAGGTACGTTGAATCATAGTAAATATTACACACTTGATACAAAAATGATACATGTTTGATATTTTTATTTGATCTATTTTGTCTGACATTGATGGTGAGATATTCTTTCTTGCAGTCAATTGTGGAGAAAATGAAGAGACATATTTTAGCTTTAACTAATATAGAAAATACAATAGATGAGGAGGAAGTTGATGAGACACAAAGCCTGCTTCAAGCACAGGAACAGCAGCATAGAGCCACACAAAGGTTTGAAAGAAATATATTTCATTCTGCATTTGGCAAAAAGCAATAAGATGTTTATACACTCGTGAGAAATACAGAAAATTTCATCTGTTTAGTTGAGATACAATAGAGTTAGTTTTCATTGGCCATATATTAAAAATGGGATAAATTTGGAATTTCAATGGGAAGATTAAATAATTACGTGTATTATTAATATACAGAAGAGTTGTATAAATCGCAAACACACTTGTGTGGATGATGAGTTGGTTTCAGCAAATGCTGATGTCAATTTGGTGTTGGAAACATTACATGGTGTATATTGTGGCATGCACAGGACGTTTGAATTTCAACAAGGGCTGCTGTTAGAGAGAGAAGACAGAATAAAACGAATTGAGGGGGACATTTTGGACGTAAATCAAATTATGCGTGAGCTTGCAGCATTGGTGCATCAGCAGGGTGATACTATTGGCAAGTACCCATTTCTTCAATATAATTGTATGTACCTTTATACCTTTTGCATGAAATTCAAATCATTTTCTGACCGATGTTTTAATTTGAGTTTCCTGCGCAAAAATAAGCGCTTAAGCAATATTGATTTATTATATAATGAAAACCTGCGACGCTAAAGGATGAAAGATCTAAAAGCAACACCTTACCGATCTCGTTGCTATTTGCCCTCATTACAAAGTGCACTCGGTTTATTGAAGCTAATGACTCTCTTGTAGATACAATCGACAACCATATAGAAAATGTGCATGGCAACGTCGAACTGGGAGCGCAGGAACTGGCGAAGGGAAGTAATTACCAAAGTAAATTTCGTCGAAAAGTCTATATCTTGATGTTACTCGCGATTATAGTTGTCATTGTATTAATTGTTATTCTAGTCACTAAATTAAGTTAGCGTCCCTAGCCTTCGTGGTTCATCCGAGAGGGTAAACGAAAAGGGTTGTCTCAATCTGTCTCGCGCTCATGCGCGCGCGCGCACGAATTTAAAAGTATAATACAACCTTCTACTTCAAAGTAATTGTTTCGCCCACTTCTCTCTGTATGTCGGAAATATAATACGAGGAGAGTATAGAGACTTATTTTATAATCCGCTTACGAGTGAACTATTATCTTCCACGCACAGGAAGATGTTAGCCCTTTCCAGATTTTATAAAAACAGTATTTAATAATTTCATATGTAAAGTATATATGAATTTTTATAGGCTTTTTTTATTCTATATTTTTCGCACTCTAGCTGAATTGTATTGTTACTAAGTAAAATACGAGAATGTGAGTAACGGCTTAGTAAATACTCTTGCCAAATTATACTTGTATGTTTTATCGTGAAAATTATTTCTTTCAAAATAATTTTGTCCTCTAGACATACTGCAGATTTCCTATCCCTATCGTCTCACAAATTTTATGTTGATAATGTGCATGAAAAAGAATTTTATTAAATCATTTGCTTTTCAAACGCTGCTTTGAACACGTTATTATATCGCCGTATCGCTATTACAATACGCAGTAGTGATGTTTCTGACTATCAATAGAAAAATTGATAGAGACACTTTCATTAATATTGTTTTAACAGTTTGCAGTTGTGCACCATTGGCATTACATATTAATTTAACTGAGACGTGTCTTTAGGCAAAATCTATAATCATGCCTAATATACCATGTGAAAAAATCACTCTTTATAAAAAAAGTTGCGCAATTGAAATGTTACCAACTTGTCGCTGCTGCTGTAGACATTATATGCCAACAACCACTGGTCATATAATTCGTTAAAAGAGCATCTAGTGTGGCAAATATTATATTGAATTTATATAATGCATGAAAATCTTATTGTTATGCATTTTCTAAATTGTAATTTTACGTCTATTGTATATTCATTTATATGTATTAAAACCGATATTTTTATTGCTGTACATCCTATTTATATAATAAATGTAATCCCAATTTTATTGAAAATCGTCAGCAATTCAGGCATTGATTCAGTTCTTGCGTACATTGGCTTAGATCATATTGATGCTTGTCATTCGTGATTGTATAAATGTTAATCTATAATAATCTTAAAAGTCTTTATCATGCTTTAAGACATGGGAACAGTTTCGACTATCAATTCATCATACAAATTCGCTTCAAATTATGAGCATTGAGCATATAGTTACTATGTTTCGTGCGTATCTTACGAACGATATCTTTCTACAAATAAAGTCGCAAATAAAGCTAAGTATAACACGTGAATTTTCTCCCGAATATCGCAAAATGCTAACAATATCTATTTTTCTATATATTATTCGTCAATTTACTAGTAACAATTATTTCAACTATTACACGAGACAGTTGCCGTGCTTGTGTATGTTGCATCAATATGAAATAACAAATTGTCTCTTGATACTGTCTGGATATTTTCTTTTAAATTTGGGATATTATTTCGCGTTTAATTAATCGATGCTTCCTCATAATTATATAATCAAAGAGCCGACGCTTATTTGAAATTATATATTGGGAGATACGAGATGAGAAGGACAAATTTACTCGATTGAGACAGCCATTTTCTTGCAGCTACTCGATTCTTACATGATTAGGCATTCCGGATGCTAAAAATCCAAGATATAATTATTAAGGTTATAACCTGAATATTGTATATACAACAATACTAATCATTAACATCACTTAAATAAATAATACAATACGGCATTGATATCAATATCTGCACTTGATGTCAATGATAATAGCTTTATTATATATCTATTGTTGATTTATATGTGCTAAATTAATATTAGACATTAAATTATGTTCTGTTCTTTCCGAATAAAATTTTTTTATACCCCGTACGTATGATATAATTAATATAGAATTGCATCAGAAAGTATAAGGAAGAGGTTACGATACACAAAATTAGGGATATACCTATTTTTATCGAATCTCGATGCTATACTGGTAGAAAAATAGTATCGAGAACGCCTTTTATAGTACAACTTTCGCGCTACAAATCGTTTATTTTAAAACTGGTAAGATTCATATGATTGCTAATAGCGATACACGTTAGATGTCACTAAAATATAAAATGTTTTAGAACACTAGATCTATCTCTCAACATAATAAACGATCCATGTACTGTTAACAATTTCGTAAACGTAAACATTACAATTTAAACATTTTATTATTTTTATATGCAATAACGAATCTTTTGTTACAAAGCTTGTACATAGCGTAAAAAAGAATCTTATCTTTATAGTGGAATATATACATGTGTGTTCAAACTTGTGTCATCAGAGTGTTGATTTGAAAGGGATAGACACCCTACGACGAATGTATGTGAGAAATTAATGTTTGTAGAAAATTTTTTCAGATTTATACTAACAATACGCTCCTATTTACAGAAGTTACTTTGTAAAGGGCAGTGATTCTCCCATGTGAGCCTAACAGCTTTTGTTCCTTACCGCTTATAAATATAGCAGCTTATAAATATAGCAATACGTGCAGTATGCTTTATTATATAAAATATTCGTATCTTAAACATATACAATGTACAAATATAAATTTGTTCTCCTAACAGACTCGGTATTGTTACGTTGTTTGAAATTATCGCGAGATGCAACGATAGACTTATGCGCAAAGTCTTAGAATAAACATATTGTATAATGCAGATATCTGCGTGTAGCGAGTCTATGCTTTTATCTTGTTTTGTTGCTGAGATCGCCTGGCTTTGATTCGTGATTGCAGAGTGAGCAGTAGACCCGCAAGAACGTCGTGATTCGGTAACTTCTTCGCGAACAATAAACGCTTGACTGAATCGTCATACGTGAGAAGGGCCACCATGTTTTGTAAGAGAAATCCTTGACAGTACTCTAACAGCTGCGCGGCGTTGTATACCTACGATTCGTGAAAAAAGGAGATTATACACACGAGCGATTTCCGCGCAAGGACAATGTCTCTCTCTTACGAGAATACTCGTCTGTAAGAAATGTACCTTCGCATGAATATACATGGAAACGATATTATCGAGATCCACCATTGTGGAGCATTGCGCTTCACAGTATCTGAGCAAACCGTCGAGTTGAAAGAAATTGGCCGCTGCCATCAATTCCAGAACGTCACTTTGATTAACCTCCAAAGTGGCGCAACCGCCGTGGTAGAGAAATTCCATAACTATCTGAAAGTCAAAGTCACTTCTCTGAGGACGTCTGGCGATTCTCAATTTGTCTTTTGATAGATTATCGATAAAGATCTACGTACTATGTGTTATACAATAATATGTACTGTATGTTATATGACGATGAAAAGCGCACCGCCGATCTCATACCTGAAATATATGATATCTTATGTCGTTAATCTGCACAATGGGAGGATTGCCCTCGCATAATTTGGAACTTAACATGTTCCTGAATCTTGGGGAGGATGTAACCAGCACAATCTTGTGGCCGTAGAATACGCGACCCTCCACTCTAAACTGCACGTCGCTCAATTCGGGATTGTTCACGAATTTCGGATCGATTCTTGATCCGCTCGACAGCGTGGTGTCTCTGATCGGCTTGATCGGCTCCCAACCGAAACACGTGCAAAAGATATCAGCCAGCAAGAGCGTGGTGCCTTCCTTCTGTAAAAAGAAAATTCACACAAACGAAACCTTGTATTTAACGAACGAATAAACCACGATGTTTTTATATGTCACAGGCCAGGATTGGGAAAGTTACTCCTCAAAACTGACCAATAATCGACTTTGCGATTGCATAAAGTTCACCTTGTTGTATCTAAAAATGTTGAACAAGAGCGGCAGGCACTCCTGCACAAACTGCGTGGAATAATCGTCCGGGCAGACTTGAAGGAAATCTTGCAGCAGCTGATCTATAACCGAATCCAGTCGCATCTCGTGAGCTGTCGCGAGACTGTGCATCCAGCAGTGCAGCGTCCAGCCTACTTTCAGCCCACGAAGCTCCATCGTGACGTCTGTGAAACCAAGTGTAACTAACGTCGGTAGTACCAAAGCTATCCAAAGACGTGTTAAGTCGCAAAGGTGCAACAACACTTACATTATGATGATTGTCTTCTTACCTAAATGATTGCTTTCCGCGCTGTGATACATCGCTTCCTGCAGCGCCTTGGTTTGCACCTTATTAAATACCGGTTCCTTGCCTTCTCTGCGAGCTCCTCTCCCTTCGGCGGTCTGTTGCTGCGAATTAGCACCGGCGTTACCTTCCGCTAGTATCTCCTCCAAAGATAGTATCTCCTTTTCCCCTCGCTTGGCTGAGAAGTTGAGCGGGTGAGATAGCAATTGATGAAGACAGCTTCTTTGGCCGTGCGCCGTTGCCACTGAGATTGCGCTAGAAAATTCAAGCGAATGAATAAAACGAGTTTAACAATTAAGAATATTTTATGAAATATCATTAATAAAATAAATATCATTATAATTTATCAACGTTTTTATCATGACGATCAACTTGTGTTAACTAAACGTCGTAGTTCTTCGCAATTTTCCATGTCAACACGCGACTTTGATTACCTGTAACAACCGCGTTGTGCAGAGCCCGAGTAGGAAAACGAGTCCTTGATGAGAGTAGAGAGAAACGGCTGGGCGCCGTGCGCCAAGAGCAAGGCGACCATCTCGTTGTTCCCCGACGCGGTGGCCGCTTGCAACGGCGTCACCGTGCACTTGTCCTCGCTGAGTTTCGCGCCGCCTTCCACGGCGGCGCCTCGCTCCAGCAGTATTCTGGCGATGCTGCAGTGGCCCAGCAGAGCCGCGTAGGTCAGCGCAGTCCAGTGTTGCGTCTCCGCGTTGAAGCCGGCTGGCGCGTAGCACATGCCGCCGCCGGGTACGGCTCCAGCGGGACCACCTGGACTGCCGGACGATAGACTCGCGCTCGGTGATGCTTTGCTAGGCGTCATCATGGCCGACTGATTGACGGGGGGGCTTCTGATGTTCGGTACGTTGGACGCCAAGGGCATCTTCGAAGGTGTGTTGGACGACTGGGCGCTCGTCGTGGGCGACGGACTCTCCACGTTCAGGTCCGCCCCGGCGTCTAAGAGAGCCGTCACGGCCGACTCGTCGCCGTTGATGCACGCCAACATCAGGGCTGTGAAGCCGACGTCGTTCACCGTGTTGATCTTTGTCGAGGGCAGCAGCGGCATCGCCTGGGCGATGAGATCCGCTCGTCCGCTAGTCAACATCTTGAAGGCCATGTCTATCGTCAACAAGCGGACGTACTCGGCGTCGTCGATGCGCTTGGAGCACACTGCAACCTCTTCGGAGCTGCGGGCAGATGGGAAAGATGGATCTTAAGAGAAGGTGCAGATTCACCTCAAGTTCGTGTCGGATTAGGTGTTGGGGATTGAAGATTGCGAGTTGGACATTAGAATTCGACGAGCCGGCTAACTTCGATCCCGCTTTATGCTGAATAGTACAGTTTTCTTTTACGTCACGGTCTCACCTTATTGGACGAACAGGACAGTCTACACCGGGCAAAAGTAACCGGGCGGCTTGATTAATGTCATCCTGATCCACGACGAGACCGTGTCTGTGCTCCGCGTGCGCTGCGGCTACCCGTAGCCATTCTACTAACGGTGGCAGCACCACGTAAGCCCGCTCGTACGCCAACTCTTGTATTCCAGAGCCGCGTTCACCGTGCTCCAGCTGAAACAACCGCATGTGTTTGGATTAAAACAACGTCGAGTTATATGCAAAGACTGGCGTGATGCGATAGATTAAATATATTAATCAGATTGAAGACTAGATGAAAAGAATATGAACTGTCGATTAATTGAAGGTAACAACTTATATGAATCGAGGAGCGGAAGAAGATACTGAAAAATATACGTCTACGAAAAGAGACTGGAAGAACGTGACAGTGGTGGAGTGGATCGATCAACATCACCGGAAGAGCGATGCGTCGAGACAAATTCCATACCTGTGAACACCTCATGTAGTAAAACAGGGCGTGTAACGCTCTCGTAGTCAGCGGGACGGGGCAACGTCCGGCGTGTGCTACTTTGGAAATCAAATCTATCAACTCTGACATGGACCCCACGCACGTTGTGAGCAACGACGGTTCCAAAGCCGAGCCGGCCGCGTCTCGCCCGCTGCGCGACGACGACGACGAGTTCAGGGAGCTCACGCTCGCCCATCGAGGCATCGCCAGAGCGCCTAGACACGATAAGAGATCTTGATATAATATGATCGATGTAAACACGATATCGCGCTATTAATCGGAACTTAGGACTCTTGAATAGCGCGTGAATCCAGCGCTAGAGTGAGCACGATGTGAGTGCTTTCCGAGTAGAGTAAACGCGAGTTTACTTCTGTCTGACCGGGTGAAAATTAATTTTTACGGAAAGCCAGCGACAATCGACTTGGCAGACAAATCATGCAAGTCAAGGGAAATTGAATTTACAAGATAGATTCGCGAAATCAAAGATTAGAAGCGTAGAACAGAGCGTGGAACGCGTGTGGAGCGCGAAAGTGCGAGATCGAAATTAAATAAGTTCGTCGGGACGTGTAAATTGAGAGGAGACAGCCGACGGTGGGCCGACGAGGTACGCGTTTGCGCTGTGTATCATTTTTCATTAACGCAAGGGGGCTTCGAGATTATATGGACCTGATGCGGTTCGGCCGGCGTTGAGATGCGCGTACGGTTGCAACAGGCCCCATAAGTCGCCGCTGTTGGCTATAGCGTGCTCCAGCATCGTCGCCGTGAGGGTCGTGTGCGGCTCGGTCGGCACGCATTGTAGCAGTATTTCTTCCAGAAGGTTCTCGATCCCGGCCGTCAGATATATCGCCGCGTACTCGTGTATCATTCTCCCGAGCCTCACGTCGGACATCCAACGTAAAAAACGTCCCACCGGCAATTGCAGCCCCGAACGGGATGCCTTCGATTGTTTCAGCTGATCGCCAGATACAGCAAACATCGCGGCAGCTCGCAGGCAAGCCTTTAAACAAGTCGGATATCAGATTGGCCGTGTTTTGAGCGTCAAGTGCGCCGCTAAGTAGGAACGCCGCGAGCCGGCTGAATATTCATCGGCCGAGGCATTTCTCATGAGTATGCATAATTAGATATCTCGAATTAATTCAATTCGATTCTCTCTCGGCTAGAAATGGGAAATGAATGTTGTAGCTCGCTTTAGCGGTGTCGCCGGAATGTTACATAATAGTCATTCCATCGGCCTGTTATTGCGGATCAGCACAAGACGACAAATTTTCATACACGAGGCGAATTTTATGGCGAGACTTATTATAGTCGAAGTATTACACACAAGTTTCGTAATTGAATAACATGTCGATGTGTATGTGTGTGTATATTCCGCCTTAATTTATTATTCTTCACGTTTCAAACGTGCTGTTTATATTTCAGGAACTGAAGTCTACTGTTACGAGATTCACCACGAGATTCCTCAGCGAGGCAAGCTCTATTGGCAATTTACTCCTGCACTATTAGAGAAAACATGATGAAATTAAAAGAATTTCATGTGAAGATCTCTGTAAACACGACATTCAAGTGGCCAAAGAGCGCCTCGCCGCGGATAATCTCATAAATATCGTATTATAGAGCTATAAATATATTCACTATAAATAGTTAGAAATATCGAATATTTCGGATATAAAGTTGATTCCGAAATCTTTTCCCACAAACACCCAGCAAAACATGAGCAGAAATATACCGTGAAATAAAATGCGTGTGTTTTAAGGAGGAAGATTTCTCAATCAACACCATCACCGTTATACCCTACAACTACAACCGCATTGCATGCGCCAACGGCGATACCTTGGTGCAAGAATCCGCTAGCGCCGGACAAAGCACTATTTTGAAGGCGCTGTACACCTCGTGCTTGCTGCAGAGGCCCACGGGCTTCGCCAGTCTCTGCGTCTCGCGACCGATCCTGACTAGCGCGCGTTGCAGCAGGTAAGAGAGCCGCGGGATCGTCTCCATCGAGACCTGCTCCATGTGCTCCCTCGTGCGACCGTTCTGCAACACGCGCAGCACATCATGATGAGTCCAGGGCAGCTGCTGCAGCTCGACCAGACGATTGTGAGAGTCCACCCAGACGAACTCGTCGGCGCTGGTGACGTTGGTGTTGATCGTCTCCAAGCTGGAATGTCGCATCAGCCTCCTCACCGCCGGCTCCGAGCTCTCTGAGCCGCTCAGCGAGGAGTACGTGGACGAGGATTTGTGGGAGCGCATCGTCAGCTGCTGAATCGCCAGCTTTATATCCTCCAGACCGGAACCGGACCATGGTACTTGCAGCTGCAATTGGAATAGAATGTCGGTGAAACGGCTCGGGGAACAAAGATGAAAAGGCATCGATACGTTTCAACCCTGTCGCGCGCGCGCGCGCGCGGCGAAAGTCGTACATACCCCGCTCTCGAAAGGTAGCTTCTCACTCGCCAAGTGAGACGATGTGTATAAGAAACAGTCTAAGAAACCGCTAGTCATTCGCGAAAACCGCATATACGCGCTCATGCAGAATCTATAGGGTGGGGGCGAAATCACCACGAGAAACGGAAATATACACAAAGATTAAACCCCAAAACGAAAAAGAGACCGACTTCGTCGGTCGCTATCTCTTCCAAAACTTCACGTCTTTTCGTATTTTTCCGTTACAGCGTGTAATTTAGATTCGTTTAATCCTGATTTCGACAGCGCGCAACGCAACGTCGAATTTAACCGACACTTTTCCTTTTTCGTGAAAGCGGCTTTATCGGACTTTTCGGTGAGTAATAATTGTATAAAAGTGAGCACCTTCGCGGGAGTGGCTCGATGCCGGTTGCGGCTCTGGCCGGATCGGCTTTTGCCGTTTCGCTGGGTGACCGACGCCGAGAGTCGGTCGTCCTCGGGCACGGCGTTCAGCTGCTGGGGACTGTGGGACCTGTGGTGACGATGCGGTGGCGAGCTGCTACTCGTGTGGCCACCGGTGTCAGACATGCTCGCGTGTCCGGACGATCGATTCTCATCAGAGGAGGAGCTGTTGCCGGTGCATTCTGGCCTCCTCTGCGAAAACGAGCGATCGAGTCGAGCCTTTTCAACACTGCGACTCTGCATTGCATTCTCTCAAGCAATAATGATCCGTCATCCTGTTGTTTTCTCTCACATGCAAATGACGATTTTCAGCCGTTTAAGCGACAAAGGGAGCAATTATTAACATTGAGGAGACATTGCAACGCACAAACTCTTAACTGATAAATTCGACCGTGAAAATAATTAATAAACAAAAAATAAATGACAAATGAAAGATAAGAAATAAAATAAAAACAAAATAAAAATAAAATAAAAATAAAAAATAAAAATAAAATAGAAATAAAATAAAAAGGAAAAAAGGAAAAAATAAAATAAATAATTAATAAACACGTGAATGAGAAAACGTTAAGAAAGTATCGATGGTTTGATGGTCGACGAGAGAAATGGAAATTCCGGGCTAGACAGCCACGGAATGTGCATGCGGCCGCGCATTCGTCGCACAAATGATAACCCCCTTTCCCGCATACCTGAAGCGCGCGGAGCTCGTGTAAACTGAGATGATGGTGCTGAGAGTGACGTGGGTGCTGCGGCGTCGGGGTCGGTGCCACACTGTCCGTGTCCCTTTCCGGTATCATATGCACCATATCGTGGACTCCGCTTTTCGGGGAGTTCTCGGTGAAGTCCTTGGAGTAAGGAGGGCAGTATATCTCGCGACTGTTGCCGCCGCTCGGTCTGCAAGTGAACGTGACACGTTACGGCGTTCTTTCCGCGATAATGGAAGAAGGATAATAGATGAGCCCTTCGCACGACGGCGCTCATCTCGGTGATCATCTCGGATATCTCCGGCGCGCGAATCTCGTCGCGTTTGTTGTCGCTCAATTTCGGCTCCGGGCTCTCGCTCGCGCTGAGCGATCGCGCGAACGAGAATAGAGAAGACATCCGGTGTGTGTGTGTGTGTGTGTGTGTGTGTGTGTGTCGAATTTTCGCCGCTCAGAGGATCCACCGCCGATTGGGCCGCGCGGCGCGGCAAGGGAGGGGTGACACCCGCTGCGACTTAGGGGCGACTCGCGCTGTGGGAGTCGCGCTTAGGAGCACCGAGTTTCCCTACCTGAGCGACCGACGTGGCGCGGCGCGACCGGTACCTGCCGTCCTGTCACATAGGTCAGCGTCTTGTTCATCGCCAGAGGGACAATTCCAGCGACTCGTTTTCGACCGTGAGCTCGTGAGAGCGCCTTGTCCGCGGCGACGAGGCGACGCGCAACACGAGTCCTCGCGGACGGACACATTCTCGCCGGCCGGGCGAAGGCTCACAGTCACGAAACGCCGCAGTCTACGCGGCGCGGCCGATTCCTAGCGTGAAATGTGCTCGGCAGATAGGAATCGCGTGTAATCTCAAGACGGAGAAGCGAGTAGATGGGACGCGACGCTCCTCTCGCTCCTCCTCTCGTCGCGCTAATGAGCGAGCCGCGCGCTGCCTTGTGAACCGTTGTGAACGATTGTGAGCCTGGCCGAGCACGCACCAGCCGGGCTTTTTTCACCTTGGAGTACTAAAGACGCGCGACTAACCTGTGCGCGCCGATATGGCGTCACTGAGAGAGACGTAGACTCTCAATTACGAGCGTACCTGTAATTAGCACCGCGAGAGCATTCGGAATTATTCATATTTCATTAAACTCACGACGGCCGAGGAGAGCTTCGCATTGCTGGCACTGGGAACCCGGGGCCGCCTAATTGCGCCGCGATACGCGGACATGCCGATCTCGAAATTTCTCGCCGCGATATTCGCTCGAAGCGAGCAGAGACATTCGTCGTCCATCCGCGACGATGCTCGTGGCGAGAGCAGCGCGATATTTTCCATCTAATGTAACCGAAACAGACGCGAGTACCGCGCATAATTTTGCCATCGAGCTCGGCGAAGGGGGAAAGAGATGGAAAGGGGAGAGAGAGAGAGAGAGAGAGGGGGGGGTCCGGCGGGAAAAAGAACCGCTGCTGTTATCACGATTCTGAAATTATCGATGATTAATAACGCTGGCCGGCCGATTGAGCCGCGCATTCCGATGAAAATGCATGGCCGCGCACATGCGAGCCGAGCCGAGAGAGAGAGAGAGAGAGAGAGAGAGAGAGAGAGAGAGAGAGAGAGAGAGAGAGAGAGAGAGAGAGAGAGAGAGAGAGAGAGAGAGAGAGAGACGCCGTTTCGAAACCGCACGGACGCTATTATATTCAATCGCGCGACCATTGTTGGCCGATATATCGGTGGCCGGGGTTTAGCTTCGACAACTTTCGTGCCCGGCATTAGAAGTTACGCAAAAGCGCGGCTCCGGCTTGGCTGTGCTCGCGCGGGCATACGGAGAGACGGAAAACGCAGTAACGCAGGTAGCGTATCGGACAAATCAATCGTCCCGGTTATGGTAGCATACGGTTACGCGAAAAGTGCGCAATCCGCGCTGCTCGCGAGTCAGCTATTTAACTCGCTCTCCTCGTTTCACTTTTCAGTCGCGACCTTTTTCGAGCGGACCGACACCGCGGCTATCTGACGAAGCAACGCGCTATCGGAACGGTCATCGAGCACGGCGATCGACGTCGGCCGGTGAAACTGTGTTCGAGAGAAACAAATCGTAATAAAGAAGTTTGCTCGAGAATACAGCCGTAGAGATGTGTGTACGACGAAGAGAAGAGTCTTCTTCTGTCTGTTAGCGAAGGAGCCGGGGTTGCACGCAAGCCTGACCGATTTTATTTTCAACTCCGACGGCTGATTCGAACGATGAAAGGTGTCGACGAAATCGAAACGCAGTTGCACGTGTATAAATTTCGTCAACTGCCGAAGGCTTTGATAAAGGCTGCATAGTGCGAGTAACAGCGTCTCTTGGAACGCGAAGTAAATCAGACGATAAATAGTATAGCAATGGACGCGTGTTGAGTCAGCCTTATAATCGAGTGGCTGAGCAAAAATTGCAGCTTACACGAACGAGAGTTTCGAGCAGCGCGGAAATGTCGAGGGAATTAGAACGTGTTCAACCCTGAAATCGAATTCGTTCGACTCGATTCCAGCTGTTTCCATCGATTTTCTCTTATAATACGTTCATGAGCGTGTGTGCACGAGAGAGAGAGAGAGAGAGAGAGAGTGTGTGTGTGTATGTGCGTTTCTTAAGACTCTAGATGCCCTGGAATGCCGCAATTTCACGTGTCAAGGCGATTACGCCGATGTGAGTGTACAAATAGCGGCCAACGTTTTTGCACGTTAAAGCGAAAGAATTAAAAGGAAAAGAAGCAGAGAGATACGAGTGTATGTGTGTGTGTGTGTGTGTGTGTGTGTGTGTGCATGTGCGCGCCTGAGCACGCGCTCTATGAGTGATTAAACAGTCCGAAGGCGGTCGACTCGAGTGCATTTCTTATGCGCGTCGAACAGCGTCGCCGTTGAGATTCAAGCATTAGCGCCGGCGGCATCATCATCTGGATTTCCTCGGAGAGCACGAAGAAAGGATCGTTTGTGCGCGGCGAGGGAATAAATCAGCGAGAGAGCGCGGCTGCAAACCGGCGAGTATCTCTCATAATCGCGCGAACGTAATACCGATTCGCGCGAGAGGCGGCCACAGTGACGATTTGCACGCACGTTCCGTTACGTGCTATCGATTCGATAGAGAGCGAGACAGAGAGAGAGAGAGAGAGAGAGAGAGAGAGAGAGAGAGAGAGAGAGAGAGAGAGAGAGAGAGAGAGAGAGAGAGAGAGAGGAGAGAGAGAGAGCGTCGAACGTTTCACTCGAAGCGCGTCCATCAGTCACGCGCGCGGGGAGAATTGAGCGAATGCACGGAGATAAGGGATTTAAATGCGAAAGCGCGCGATTACGGTGCTGTCCGGGCGCGCTTTATGAATCATGAATTATGGAGTGCTGAACGCGCCTCTTTATATGAGTATGCAAGATCGGTGACGCGTTTTAGACGCGCGCGCGCGCTCGCCCGTCTCGCGGCGAGAGATAGGCGCGTATCGCGCGATTCGGCGTCTCTTATCTCGCGATTGGAAACAAGGATCTGCAATTCCGTTTTGCCGTATCGTTAGCGCGCATGACTCGAGCCGAGCGACCGACGCGCGCCGCCTCGGTAAGGTACGCGAGGACGAGGAATCTGGCCTTCTTCATGGGCGGGCAATGAGAAACGCTGCGCGGACTGGCCGCTTATTGAAATGACCGGGTAGAATATTATCGATTAGAAAGGGTTCTCGGGGAGGACAAATATTGATGGTATTTTCCTTTGTTAGATAAAATGGAATTTTTCAGTAGAAATTATCGACAGGATCGCGGACGGCTATAATGGACGTCGGAAGAGTAATTCGAGTATTCTCTCTCTCTCTCTCTCTCTCTCTCTCTCTCTCTCTCTCTCTCTCTCTCTCTCTCTCTCTCTCTCTCTTTCTTCAAGTTTCTTCGAGTGAAATCCGAGACGAAACGAGTGAAAATTCATGCCTAGCGATCATGAGAATCCAGTCACGGAATCATAAAAGTGAACCTTTCGTTCGCACAACGTAGATCGTATTTTCAATCCTCCACCTAAGAGAGCGAATGCTCCCAATCGATCGGCACGAGTTCACTCCCGCGGCCGTCAAATGTATCAAGTTTCCACTGCAGTGCAGTGTCGAGTGAAAATTGACTCGCTCGACAGGTCCGGTGAAAAATCCAGCCAGCGCGGCTGAAAAGCCGCTCGAATTCAAGCGCCTCGGCCGTCGCTGGACTTCCCGAGCGGAACTCGGCTGCAAGAAAGCCCGAAGAGTGAGTCGAGTATTGTACAACGGAAAAAAAACACGCGGATAATACGATCGGGTCGGGTGTGCATAAATTGGAGCGAGTGCGAGTCGCACGACGGATCACCTCGACTGCTCGAAGGCTATCCGTTTGTGAACGTGTCGAGCGAGCGAGAGCGCAACTTTACCCCCTGAGCCTCCACTGCTGGACGAAGCTCCAGTCCGCCTTGAAGCCGCTGGTGTCTCCGGGTAGAGACCAATAGTCCTCCAATTGGCTCTCTTCCTCCTCTATCCTCAGCACGTCCTCCCTGCTGGGACTGACGTTCACCACGATCTCGTGCGCGACCTTGCCGGGGTCGTCGTTCGCGGGAGCGGAGTCTCGCGTGACAGCCGCATCAGCGTCCTCGCGCTCGCGATCGAGCAGCCCGTCGTCGTCCTTCCGCGGCGCATCCTCGGGCGAACTCCCGTTGCTCCTCGCCGACAGCCTCACGCAGCTCGCCTCCGGCGAGAACGGCGGCGGCGGCGGCGGCTGCCAAATCGGCTTGTCTTCCCTCTGTCTAGGGTTCGAGTCGCCGAAGTAGATGACCGTCCTGTGAGCGACGTCCTTCGCCGCCTGCCTGTGCTCGCCGCCGGGGTTGCTCGGGGGTGCTGGCTTCGCCTCGTCGCCGCGGCCATCGTCCTTCGCCGCGCTGGCCGGAGGAGCGCCGCATCGGCTCTTGTCCTCCAAGGTCGAGCTCCTCTCGTAGTAATCGTCGCGTAGTTTCGCCTCTTGCCAGTCCCGCATCGGCGCCGGCGCCACGAAGGCCACGGCCCGCCGCAGGATGAAGTTCACGCCTTCGTCGCGCGACCGCGCCGCCTCGACGCCGCTGCTCATCTCTCGGAGGCCCTTCAACTCGCGGCAGAGCACGCACCTGCAGTCCTCGGCGCACTGGACTCGTCTCGTGGAAGACATGTCAGGCAATCGCGGCGAGGTTCATTCTGGAGCGCGCGCTTTGGGACTCTTCCGCTGGCACGACGCGCCGACGAGGATATTGTCACGCGCTCCTCCTGCTGGTCTCCCCGGCGGGTCGCCTCCGCTCGTCGTCGTCGGCCGACGTCGTTCCCGATTTAGTGGAAGCCGCAGCGACACTTCCTCCTGGGCTCGTAGAATGCGTCGGTCTCACGTCCTGCCGCGATAACGCTGCTCTGATCTCGCGACGACGACTCACCGCCAACTTCCCTCATCGTGATTCATCGCGCAACGTTTTCTTTTCCGCTCTGTGTTGGCAGCCGGATACTTGGACTCTCGGTCAGTCGGTGATCGATCGACGACACGTGGGGCGGCCCCGGCTCGTCTTGTGGATCGTCCTGGAGAACGCGTGTCAGGACGACGGCGAGGGGCGATTACTTCGTAATCGAGTCGACCGATGATCACTTCGCGATCGGCAGCTCCCGCGACGCGGCTCGCACTCTCGCAACATGGACTCGCGGTTTCTCTCTGAAAACGTGCTCGACAAGCGCGTGAGATCGGGCCGATCGCGCAGCAGCTCGTCGCACGCGAGGAGTCTCCAGCGCGGCCATCGCGCTGCCGCACTCAATGTAAACACGCGACTGACGATGACGGCGTGTCCGCGGTGGTTTCCTGTGCACCGGAGCGCAGGTGAAACGCCGTGCGCGCTTCCCTCGCGCGCGGTCTACCGACCAGCGAGGAGGAGTCGAAGAGAAAAGAAGAGATATCCGTATCACTTTCCTACCTTCACCGTGTGCGTGCCTTCCCCGCCCCCGCCTTTCCGCCTTCGCTCACTCTCCCTCTCTCTCTCTCTCTCTCTCTCTCTCTCTCTCTCTCTCTCTCTCTCTCTCTCTCTCTCTCTCTGTGTCTCTCTCTCTTTGCCCAGTCCCCTCGCGCTCTCCGTCTCTTTCCGTCCGCCGCCTTTTGTTCCGCCGCGCGTAACTATGATATCACGCGGGAAAGAGCGGTCCCGTAAAAAAGCGCGCACTCCTCCTCAATGAACGTGGAAATCGCATCCGGTCGTCGGCACATCCGCGCTCCTCATTCGGGATCCTTGCCGATCTCGCGGCCTCGGCAAGAGCCGAGCAGCTTGGCTGCGCGGGCGACGACCACGCGCGGCTTTTGTCGTTCAGCCGTCGCCGACGAGGTCGTGTGTAATCACGCAGGTGCAATTAGATAAGAGCCGCGAGAGGATCCTGCGATCGCAAGGACGAGGATCGCAGGAGGCTGGCCGTAGAACACTGCTCGCGGGGCGAGTTGCAGCGCGAGGTATCCCGACTGCGTAATCCGGCGTCGAAGGTTTTATCGCGACAGCGAACGAGAGCTTATCACGTTGGCGCGCCGGCGGTGGCTATGTTGATGACGACGACGACGACGACGACGACGACGACGGCGGCGGCGGCGACGGCGGCGAAACGAACGCTCGCGATCGGCGATCGCGACGTGCATAAGTGCCGGCCGTCGCTCGTAAACTGCCATGCTCTTTTCAGCCGCGGTCGGCCGCGGGAAACGGGAGAGCACAAACGAGCGTGTGTGTCTTTGCCGAGCAGAGCCCCACCATGTGTTTCGGGGGAGGACTTCCGGCGACCATCCTACTTCCTACGACTCGTCGCTTTCGATACGCTGTCGCTTTTCTTTCGTTTCCTCCTCCCTTTTCCTTTATTTTCTTCTGCATTGCGTGTTTCGCGATCGACTTGAGGAATAATTGTATGTCCCCTCTCCTCTCATCCTCCGGCCTCGAATCGCATGTGAGACTTTGTGCGGGCCGTTGCCGTTGACGTCTCACGGCGCCCACGTTCGCGGCTTCTTTTTCTCCGCGCGGTACCGCAACCTTCTCTATCGTGAAATCTGTCCACACGATCGGAGCAAAGAGAACGAGCGAGCGAGAAAGAGAGAGAGAGAGAGAGAGAGAGAGAGAGAGAGAAAGGGAGGGAGAAGGTTGACCGTGAGTACCCCGCTACGTTGATTCTTTCCGGTATCCAGCGTTACCTCGGCGCGGCGCGAAGAAGATTCCCAGGTGGCTTGCCGAGCGGTAATTAACTCGTACAGGTGCACTCGCGGGGTGCTCACGGCACGCTCACGCGGAAAACAGGAAGCGAAGTGGGTCAGCGTTAAAAGCGTCGCCATTAGAATTACACGGCAGCTACGCGTCTGAGATACCGGAGGAGTTTCGCGTCGCGGAATTATTTCCGCGTGGATTATTATAGCGCGTCGGCGAAGCTCGCGCAGTCTGCGTTGATGCAACCACTCGGTGCCTTGGCCGCCGCGGGCCATTATGTATTCTTGCGAAGCAATCCGCGTGTCGAAATGGACGATCGCGCGCGGCCGGCGAAATTGGAAACGCCGGGCCGATGTGCGAGGAGGCGTTTCTCAAGGCGAGGCGGTCGAGATCGGCGGTTTTCCGGCGATTAATCCGAGCGACGCTTCGAGATCGTAGATCGTAAATAGATGGTAAACGCTCTAACGCAGCAATCGCGATCATAAACGGTCTCACAGCCGGCAACTCGAGCCGTTTGCGGGAAACTAATCGCTCGATATTTCGCAAGATACCGCGCGCACGCGGCTAAAATGGCTAATCGGAGTCCTGCGTGATTCTCGAGTGAGCGCTTGGATTTCCCGAGGCGCGTTTCTCAGGGATCGCGACCATGATGTCTCGCGACGATGGAATAATATTCTGCTTCCCGAGAGGAATTTTTTTCGACCGCGGGAAATTTCGACAGTAATATTTCGCGGCAGATTTCATCCTCGACTCGATCCTCGACTCCGATCCCGGGCAATTTTCGACGATTATCGACGATTGAGATTCGCGCGAAAAAGATCGCCAGTTCCAGTAGTCGCTCCGCTCTTCCCGAGCGGAATTTTGTTGGAAGACATTCAGAGGTCGCAGCTTTCGTCTTTTTAATCTCGCTCTCAAGCAGAACGTTGCCTTGAAGTGGCTTCCGAGCAACGTCCAATCGCGTCATACTGTGCGCGTTTCCCTTTGCATTTTTCTCCGCCGCTGTAACTTATATTACATACTTTAATTGAAACGAGTTACGCATACGGCGTACATTCATACATAAGAACGGCCTTCAGCGCGCGTTATCGTAAACTGACGCGAAAGTAGACAGCCCGGCTTTCTAGGTAAACCGGTATTCCTTATCACACGCGAATTGAAAATAAGCTCCGCCCGGAATCGCCCGGAATCGACCGCACGGAATCGTCGCGTCTCGCCGCAACAGACACTCGCGTCCGCGCCGGTCGGCTAATAACAATAATTACAATAATGGTAATAACGGTACCCCCCTAAGAGAGTAAAATACTTCTCTCAGGACGACTCTCAGCGGGAGTACGGCCGCGCAGAAAGAAGCGCAGAATTTCGAAGGAAGCTTCGCCTTCGCGCTGACCCCTAACAGGATTTGCTGAATGAACGTTCGGAGAATGGCCCGGCGAAACTCGCAGCACATGTCTCTCGCGCTTCAGACGGACTCGCGGGAGGAAGAGTTCAAGGAGGATATTGTCCGTGTTCACGGGGCGAAACTCCGGTGTCAAGGGCGGCGCGGCGGCGGGGAGGACTCCGCGTACAAGACCAGGAACATTAAATTATTTAGCGGAGCGTGTCCGCGCCCGGGCGCGCCTACACCGAATGTGGAACCGGAAAGAACAGTGCTCCTCTCTCTCTCTCTCTCTCTGTCTCTTCCCCTTTTTCTCTTCCTTTCCCCCCTCTCTCCCCTTCAGTCTGCTCGCCTCTCTTCCTCTCCTTCGTCCTCGCGTCCGGCAGAACGTCCGAGGGAAAACGTTGATCGCGACGTCGCTCGGCCATCATCCGATGGCGCAAAAAGGCAAATTACACTCCCTCGGAAGTGCGTGCGGAGCGCGCGCGCGCACGCGCGCGAGTGCATGAGTGCACGCGAGATGTATAATTTTCCATAAGCGCTTTTTCCCCACGCGAAAGTGACGCACGTAGAGCGTACAAGCGAGCGAGCGAGCGGAAGCGCAACTCGGTTCTGCAACTCCGTCCGCGTGCGTTTTCGACTCGCGCAATACGGCCGCGTTGAACAGCCGCTGATTTCGATTGTCGTGATCCGCTCGTCGTGAGAGAACTCGCGGGAGACCCGCCCGCGCGAGAGGATCCAGGATGACGCGCGCGAGCGAGGAGGAGGCGCGGTGCGAGCGACCGACCAATGTGGCGCGCGGAGGTTAAACATCGCGTCCGCGTGCGATTAATTAAACGCACGCACTCACACAGACGCGCGATTTTCGACGGGGCGCATCGATTAGCATCGAAATGTAATAACACGTTCGGCAGGGTTTTAATAATCCGCCGACTCTCTCGAGCCGACTCGTGCCGCTCGCGCACGGCTAACAGTTTCTCGCGGACGGGAACGAACGTACGCGAGATTGAGGGAAATCCTCGAAAATCGAGAGATCCGCTCTGAGAATAAACGCCGCAGCGTGGCGCGGCGGCGTAGTCGGCCGTTCGGGAAAAAGGCCGTGTCACACTTTTACCTCGGTGAAGCTTGCGACGCTCTCGCGAGCTCGATGGGAAAATGCGTCTTCGCTGGATGTGAATCGCTGTGAACAGACAAATTCCCCGCCCCCGGGGCAGGCGTGCGTAGCGAAGCTCGTTGAAAGTAAAATGTAGTAAGCTGGTAGTTAACATTGTTAAGCGGACCTCGGCAACGTTGTAATCAAGAAATTCAGGGGACAGTATCGTAATGTTGATGTGCTGAAAATTCGACAGCTACGTCGTTGAGTCGCCGATTATGATCCTCCCGTTGTGAGAATCAAAATCAGCGCGCGCCTGATATGTAGCTTGAGACTGGCTCATCGTTGAGTCGGACTTCGCCTTCGTCTCTCGAGTCTTCATCGCCGACGAATCTTCACGAAAGGAAGAACGTTGCGACCTTTTTCTCCAGCTCGCTTCGCGTCGTCTTTCTTCTCTTCCCGGTCTCGACGTCTCCGCGCGACGACAGTCCGACGTTTCTCCGATTTCCTCCCGGCGATGTCGCATTTGAGTTCTTATTCGCGCAAACCTCCCTCCTCTACCCCTCCCCCCCGCCCCGCGTCGCGGTGTCTCAATTATCGGCGGGTAGAACTCGTGGACGAGGCGAATGCGCGCGCGCGCGCGAGACAGGTGTACCTGTCCGGCCGCGCGATCCTACGCAAGAAGATAATAAATGCGACTCGTCCCTGACCTCAGCCGACGACCGGCGCGGCGGCGGCGGTAGTAAAAGCTAGTTAGATCGGCGCTGTACAACGGAAGAAAGGAGGAAGGCGAGGTGGAAAGACCATTAACCTAAATATCCGCGGCGGCGCGCGGGCGCATCGGCGTTTCCTCTCACGCGCCGCGCATTATTATCGCGAGCCGAGCCGAGAGCGCGCGAGCTTCTCGTCGCGTTCCCAGATAACGTTTTCTCGCGATTTCCGACTTTCGGATGGCGGCTAATTAAAAAGCGAGCTCTCTTTTCGCACGATCGTGGCGCCCGCGCGTTCGCTCGCTCGCGTTCGCCGCCGCCGCATAATGGGCGCCCCGAGCTGATTTCTATTTCATCCCGATTCGCCGCGCCACGAGGCGCAGACGGGGAATCGCGCGGATCTCGGATGATTGAACGTCCGATGAAATGAGATGCGAGGTGAGAGTAAAAGTCCCGCGGCGCGCAACCGTCGACGACGGCGTCGTAGTGTCGAGGCGCCGCAGACTCGGAAGGAGAACCGCGGGACTTTCTTTTTCCATCGTTCGACGCGGCGCGGAATATGCGCATCCATTTTTTCTCTCTCCTCCTCCGTCCAGCCTTCCGAGAG